TGCTTTGCTATACCAGGTACACGATTAATACTGTCCATGTAACTTGAAAGTTGAGCATGAATACAAAAGAGAAGAGTTGAAGATTGTTTATTTTTAGACATAGCTTGTATACTGTATATCACAGAATGTATTGTTGTTTTACATTTCTGTTTGGATACTTGAGTTAGCTCTCATACATAGCAAATGTCAACGGTAGGGTAACTTGTTATTTTATTATGTGTGTAGGTTGATAGACAAAAGGTTTGACAGTATAATAGGCTATAGCTCATAAATGAGCTATGTCTGTGATTAGCATGTCCATTAATGCATGAAAATTATCCATCATTAGTTAAACCTCCTTCCCTTTTGATAAACTGCCTTATTGTAATTGATAAACCACACCTTTAGAACAAAGAACACAAGTTCACGGTCTCAACCTCATGAAGGTCGAGCCCAAGTTGGAACGGACCAAGCAGGCCCTCGTCGGAAAGTCAGTGGCCCAGGCTTGGCCAACCCCGCACAAGCTGGGTTTGGGCCCACGAGATTCGATCGCTTGCCCGTAGGCGTGGCCTAGTTTCTGATTTTTGTAAAAGCATTCTGAATCATGTTATAAATGACCTGCAAGCATATAATTAACTAGGACTATCTCTGTTTTCAATTAGTAGAGACAAAAGCGACAAGAAACGTAGTTGCTATAGGATATCCTTTTAAAATAAAGACGAGATGAGCCTCGACAAATAAAAATGCACAAGCTGCGGGGCCCTCATTAAATGTATATATCGAAGCATTTAGTTTTCAGGACGGGTCATTTAGCAAATCTCACGGCCCTCCCAGAATAATAATGCGATAGTTTCTTTAAGCGCGTATTTAATAATGTTATCTCTTTAAACTCGGGTGCACATTTATGTGACCCAAATCCAAATCTCAACGGAATCGAAATGTGTCTCGAATTACTGGTACATTGATTGTGGCGTGGTCTGAGATGCATTTTCATGACGTTGCAAATTCTTTTTATAAGGAATGAGACGAGCCTCGACAAATAGAATATGTACAAAGTGCGGGGCCCTCTAAATGTATATATATTAAAATACTTAGAACTCGGGACAGGC